GGTAGAATGTCACCTGGGCCTGGGGATGTAACTCAGTTGGTAGAATGCTTCCCTAGCATGCAGTAAACCCTGGGTTCATCTCCCAAACCACATGGTAGCTCACACCTGTAATACCAACGCCTAGGAAATGGAGGTAGGAAGGTCAGAAATTCAAAGCTACCCTGTGATACATGAGACTCTGTCTCAAAAGACAAAAATAAGGAGCTAGAAAGTTGCCCCTTGCTGCTCTTGCAGAGGGCCCGAGAGTTCCCAGCAGCCACGTGAAGGGCTCACAGCTGCCTGTAACTTCAACTCCAGGGGTCATGACACCTTGTCTAGATGGGGTACCAGCACACCCCTGGCATAACTAGTTCACACAGTCACCACTCTTAGGAGACTGAGACAGAAGGATTGTCACCACTTGGCTATATAATAGATTCCAGGCTAACCTGAGCTACAGAGTAAGTAAGGCGCTCTCTCTGGTAGTGGTGGTGGGGGGGGGCGATGTGGATTTTGGGATGTGGGTATAGTACAGTTGGTAGGGTATGGCCTGGCATGAGAAAGCCTTAGGTTTGACCTGTCACTGGCTAGAACCCAGCAGTGACTCACTGCATAATCCCACACTTGGGAAGTAGAGGCAGAAGGCTCAGAAGCTGAAGGTCAGGCAGCAGAGGTGGCTTAGCAGTTAAGAGCACTTGCTGCTCTAGACGACTCATGTTAGGTGGCTCATAACCAACTATCACTCCAATTCCAGGGAACCGGGCACCTCTGGCCTCCTCAGACACCCACATCCATATGCAGGGATACATACGGGCACACAAGGAGACAAACGTATTATATAGTTTTTTTTAATGGTTCAAGGTCATCCTCAGCCACATGCTGAGTGTAAGCCCAGCCTAGGCCACGTGAGACCATATGTCAATGCAGCTAAAAGAGTAAATTCTGCATTCTCAAACAATGCAGACTGATGGGAAAAGGTAAACCTAACAAACCCTGTGTTAAGTAGGGTACTAAGCAATGCACACTGAGGTTTCTGAACTTGATTAATACATGACTGTGCTCCTCTTGTATCAGGGCCAGAAAGATGGATGAGAATATTGCCGAGTTTCTCCGGAGGAGCATCTTGAAAATCCCCTTGCATGCGATAAAGACCATCCTAAAAACCTGGGACTTTCTGTCTGAAGACCAACTGGAGACCATAAACTTGCGGCAGAGAAAGGAATCTCTGACCCAGGAAATAATTCTGCTATGTGAGGTAACAGTGTTGAAAAATATCAGCCAAAGAAATTAATCAATAGAATAAAGTTAGACCAATATGTACATATGGTTAATGGATCTTTTTAAGCAATGGTACAAAAAACAATTCTGGGAAGAAAGAACATTCTTTCTAAGTGTTTTGTTTTGTTTTGTTTATTTCAAGACAGGTTTTCTCTGTGTAAAAGCTCTGACTGTCCTGGATCTCTCTCTCTCTCTCTCTCTCTCTCTCTCTCTCTCTCTCTCTCTCTCTGGAAACCAGGCTGGCTTCAAACTAACAAAAGTCCACCTGCTTCTGCCTCTGCCTCCTGAGTGCTGGAATTAAAGGCATGTGCCTGACTGGAGCAATCTTTCCAACAGCCTGGCTAAAACAATTGGATGCTCATATGCAAAAACACCTCTGCTGATCGAGGTGCTGCATCTGTTCAGTCCCAGAACTATGAAAGCCAAGGCAGGGATGTCTAGAGTTCAGGTGAAGCCTGGGCTGCATAGTGAATGCAAGGGCAACTGCACAGGAAGAAAAAAGACAAGTTCAATCCATCCCTCCACTGTGAAAAGAAAAGAAGACTCAAATAGATCCAAGATCCAAATGTAATACTTAAAACCATAAAATATTTAGGAAAGACAGACAGACAGAGAGAAATCTTTGTGTCATTGGACTAGGCAAAGGTTTCTTAGCGCATCGAAAAGGTAGTTCATAAAAGAAAAAACAGTTGATAACCTAGTAGAATTGATCATTTTTTTCTTTGAAAAAGGGTATTAAAAAAGCTGCAGACTGATGGAAACTATCCCCAAACCCTGGCCTGTAAAGGACCTGCAGCTGAAATATGTTAGAAAGTCTCAAGAGTCAGTAATAAGAAAAAAATCTTCGCTCAGTGGATAAGAACCCCAGCTGCCTTTCCAGAATACCTGATTCCATTCCCGGCACCAACGCAGCAGCTCACAACCATCTGTAACTCCAGTTCCAGATCTTATGCCCTTTTCTAGCCTCTAGGGTACCGGGCACACACATGGTGCACAGACATACATGCAGGCAAAAAAGCCATACACATTAAAAGTATTTTTTCAACACATAAAAGATTTGGTTAGACACTTTCCCAGAGAAAACATACAGATGGAATCAGCATATGAAGAAGTGTTCAGAATCCCTAGTCATCAGATAAATGCAAATAAAAGTTATAAAATATGGTCACTGGAATGGCTAGGATTGGCAACACTGATCATACCGATTTGGAATAAATGGGATTTTTTTCTTTTTCTGGTTCTGGACATTGGACCCAGGCCCTTGTGCCTACTAAGCAAAGGTTGTCTGCTGAGCTGTTTGTACCTCAAGCCTAGCATTTATCTTGTGTTTTAGAGCTGGGGATTGAAGACAGGTCTCATACATGCTGAATAAGTGCTCTACCCCAAGCTACATTTCCCAGCCCTTGACAGTTTGTCTAAAAGTCTAAACATTTGCCACCATAGATTGAGTCATTCCACTGCCAGGTATTTGCTCCAGAGAAATGAAAACACATGCATATCCACAAAAAGACACGTATATTAGCACAGTGTTTATCAAAGCTAAAACCTAGAAACAACCCAAGTCCATCCACGGGTAAGGAACAAATTGTGTCATATCCCATAACAGAAAACCACTAGCAATAAAAAGGAATTGAACTATAGACGCAGAAATATGGCTAAGTGTCAAAATAAGTATGCTGAGTAAAGGAAGCCAGATCAGAAAAGAACCCAGCCTTATGTTCACATTCATATAAAACTAGGAAATACAAATGTTGTGACAGAAGGAGGATCTGTAGCCTCTCAGCAAAGGTTGGGAGAAGAGAAGTGGGGACAGAAGAGGATAGGAGTGAGAGGCAGGGGGAGATTGGGCGTGGAGGTTGCAGGGTGTGTCCAACACACTGATTGACCCAACAGTGGCTTCATAAGTATGTTTATGGCCACATCTGAAATATTTAAGTATATTGTCTCACCTGTGGCGGTGATAAAGTGCCCTGACAACAGCAATGTCAGCAAGAAAGTGTTTGTTTAGGGTCACATTCCTGGGGGTTCAGTCCCTGAGCTCATGGGCTGGTCAGGCTGCAGGGACACCCAGTGTACAGGAAGTGTGGCCAGGCTCCAGAACCTCACGGTGCCACTCCACTGGGGCTCCGCCCTCCCCCAGACAGCGCCACCTACTGGAGACCAGATGCCCACCATGTGCTCCTGTGGGGACATTTCACATGCAAGCCACAGCTTGTATGCAGTTTAGTGTATGCTCAAGAGTGGTTTTTTGTTTTGAGACAGAGCCTCACTCTGTAGTCCTGATTGGCCTCAAATTCATTGTAATTCTTCTGCTCTTGCTTCCCAGGTACTGCAATCACAGCTGTGAGCCCCCATATCTGGCTTTTTAATGTTTCATAAATCTAAAAGTTAAGTGATAAATGTGGAGTGAGTTTCAGGAGAATGTGGACAGATGCAACAATTGAAGGTGTGACTGGTTAATAGGAGAATGTAGATTGGAGATAGATTATCAAAACAGTTCTTCAGGCATGCGAATAGAATGTTCTCGCCGGCCCTAAAATAGGCTTGAGAGGACTAGCAGCAGACCAGGTGCCTCATTTCCTAACCAGTTCACCCTTTCTTTCAGGGGAAGAATGCAAATCTTGATGACATGGCCCTCTTAGACATCGTGTGTAAGTTTGGGGGATTTGTCTTTACATATTGGAGTTTTGTTTCATCAGAAGGAATTTCTTATGTTACTGCAGACTCTAGGATCTAGAGAGGTGGCTCAGCAATTAAAAGCACTGGCTATTCTTGGAGAGAACCTGAATACACACATAGTGACTCAGAACCACCTGAAGCTCTAGTTGCATGGATCTGATGCCCTCTTCTGGCCTCTGCAGGACACTGCATGCACATAGTACATAGACACATGCAGGCAAACACCCATGCACATAAAAATAAATGAATCTAGAGTGAAAAAAAAAAAAGTGGATCCATTGAGGCCTGGTGAGCAGAGCCAGTGATTCAATTTTTTTTTTTTTTCTGAGACAGGGTTTTTTTTTGTAGCTTTAGAAGCTGTCCTAGAACTCGCTCTGTAGACCAGGATGACCTCGAACTCACTGAGATCCACCTGCCTCTGCCTCCCAAGTGCTGGGATTAAAGGCGTGCGCCACCACTTCCCAATTAATTCACAATCTGTGGATACCGAGGTCTAGCTGAGGAGAGGTTAATCAGCCGATCTCAATGATAACGAGTGTGTGAAGGAGAATTAAGAAATTATGAGAGGGGGCTGGAGAGATGGCTCAGAGGTTAAGAGCGTTGCCTGCTCTTCCAAAGGTCCTGAGTTCAATTCCCAGTAACCACATGGTGGCTCACAACCATCTGAAATTGGGTCTGGTGCCCTCTTCTGGCCTGCAGGCATACACACAGACAGAATATTGTATACATAATAAATAAATAAATAAATATTTTTAAAAAAAAAGAAATTATGAGAGACAGAGCACTTTTTCAGTGATTATGGAAGGAAACTTCCTTGAGAAAATGGTTTTCAAGTTGAGCGCCATAGGATGAGCTAGCACTAGCCAGGGAGAGGGAAGTTGAGGAGGAGGAAACTGATGGGCATGGGATGGGAGAAGAATGCCAGCCATTCAAGAGAAGGCGCAAGCTGGGCTCCAGTGGAAGGGAACATTGAGATAGTTCAGAGACTTGGAAGCCACTATAAGAATCTCAGCCTCTGTCCAAAGAATTATGTCAGCCCTTGATAGGTTATGAAAAAAAAAATAGGTGCTTGTTTTTGAGAGACCATGCTGGTTATGGGACAAGAGAGACCGGAGGGGAAGAGACACCTGTGGGATAGTCTGGAGAGGTATAAGAAAGGGAGGGTGGTGGCCCACGGGAGGTGGCAGTCAGGGTGCAGAGGAGGGTAGAGGGCCAAGAGATGGAAGGGGCTTATGCCTAACCCGGCGACAGAGACAAGTGGGTTGAGCTTGCAGGACTCTTGCCCCTACACATGAGCCAGGAGCCCTCCCCACTGTGAAGTGGAGGCTCCAGGTGCTGGTATATCACATCCTTCACAGGTAGGGCTAGGCTAACATGTGCCTGTTGCAGGTACAGCTTTGTATCTAAGTCCTAGATGTTCACCTTCTATGTGATAGGTAACGGAGCAAAGTTCTACCTTTCTGTTGCACCAGTCTTATTCTGAAACAAAGTAGCAACACAGAACCAGATAAAGAGTGCCAGAAGAAAACACTTTGGGGGCTGGCATCATGCTTCCTTTTGATACCTGTTGCAGGTAAAACCAATCAATCAGTGATCTGTTGCCAGGCCCATTGCCATGAAGAGAAATAGGGGTCAGTAATGGAGATATGCAGACCCAGGAAAGGAAAAGATGCTGTTCCTAGGGAGAGACATGGAGAACATTGATGCAGAAGTTGATGGTACCCTGAGTGCTGGGCCCATATCCCCTTCAGAGTTCAGAAAGCCTGATCTGAGAGGACACAGAAGGAGGTCTGCAGACAGATGGAGGTCCGCACAGGGGCATCCCTTCAGTCCAGGATGAAGGGAAAGAGTTGAGCTTGCTGAGCCCCTAGGTCCCATTTCTCCTTCAGCTGCTCTTCACATCTCCTGAAGGGCATCTCCTGTGTCACACACGCAGCCTTGCCGTATTCCACATGCACGCACTGAGAGCTTTATGCAGGCAGGCTTAGCCTGGGCTACAGCACTAAGTCCCTCATCTTCACAACACCATGGAGAGAACCAGGGGCAGCTTGGGTGTAGGCCATTGAGTAGTTGCTGCTGAGGAAAGAGTGGGCTGGGGTGGGGAATGAGGTGGTTAAGGACCTGGAAAAGAGGCCTCAGGCCTCATGACCTTCCATTAACGCTGTCAGAGTCATTCCGTCCTGGGGTGTATGCTGTGTTTTGTATGACAAAGGTATATAAAAATGACAAATGGGGTGAAGAGATGGCTCAGCTATTAAAACACCTGGTATTCTTCCAGAAGACCCAGGCTTGAATCCCAGCACCCACATGGCACCTTCCAACTGTCTATAACTCCAGTCCAAGGGCTCTGCCCTCTTCTAGCCTCCGTGGGCAGTCACTCATTTAATGCATAGATAGAAATTCAGGCAAAACCTCCACAGACAGAACATATCTCTGCCCATATAAAAATCTAAATTAAAACCACCAAAGACCTGCCAAAAAAATGATAAACACCAAAACTGAACTGTATTATCTATGTTGAATTGAGTAATTAGCATGTGTTTGTCTGCAATAAATTTCCTCCATTTAAATTTTATGGTTTGGGTTTTTTAAGTTTACACTTTAATTTCAAAGCTGTGTCACCCTGTTCATGGGTTGCTATTACTTTATAATATTAACAATATATATTTGTGGGAGGATGGGAAGGAGAACCACAAAAACACACTGTGTTCAAAACTATCAGTGTCATCTGATGCATCCGTATGGTTGAAAACATGAATTATGTTTATCAGCACACACCTCAAGGTCCTAATATACAGCACTAAGCTGTGAGCCCTTCTCTCTCAGATACTCAAGTTCATCGGCACAAGAAGCTCTGGGATGTCTTTCAGATGAGTAAAGAACCAGGTAATGTTTTCCACTTTACACTGAATATTCGAATTTGGCATTTTGGCAATTTAAAAATGAGGAGCAAATGTGGTCTTTTTGTTGGAGGGTTTTGTTTTGTTGTTTCTGAATCATTGTATCCCTGTGTAGCATAGGCTAGTCTAGAACTCTATGTAGACAAAGCTGGTCTTGAACTCACTATGTAGCCTAGCCTGGCCTTAAATTCACTGCATAGATAAAGCTGGTCTTGAAGTCATGGTGGTTTTCCTGCCTTTCCCGCCAGAGTAGTGGTTCTCAACCTGTGGATTGAGATCCCTTTGTGGGGTCAAATGACCCTTTTTTAGGGGTTGCCTAGACCATTGAAAACATAGGTATTTACATTATGATTCATAACAGTAGCAAAATTACAGTTATAAGTAGAAACAAACATAATTTTACAGTTGGGGTCACCACAAGAGGAACCGGATTAAAGGGCTGCAGCATCAGGAAGGCTAAGAACCACTGTTCCAGAGTGGTGCGGTGACGGCCATATGCCTCCACACCCAGCCTCGCAGTATGCGATTTGACTATTGTTCGTTTATATCCCCTGGCGCTCGGGCGTGTGTGGTGTGGCCATTACTGTTCTGGGGTGCACAGGATGAAGAGAGTGTAGCTCCCTTAACCTCTTTGTCTCTGCACTATGACAGGTGACGATGTCGACCTTTTTGACATGAAACAGTTCCAAACTTCCTTTAAGAAAATTCTTCAGAGAGCATTAAAAAATGTAAGAAAATAATCCTCTTGGATTTCTACAAAATTCAATTTAGTGCTATCGAGGGAGGGAGGGAAATAATATGTCATTACCTCAACAAACTGAAATATTACAAATCCTTCCCTCTCTTACCTGCCCATCCCACCCAGTGCTTTATAGGAGCAGTACTGCCCACGGGAACTCTGCCATGGTAGAAGCGTCCTCTACTGACAATGTCCGGCACATAGCTGGTTGCCACATGAGGACTTGATACGTGGCTGTTGTGACTGAGCAAATGAATCTTTAAACTTACTAGATGAATTCCCATTACATGCTCCACATGTGGCTAGTGGCTCAGCTATTGGCTACCAATCACTTGGGCTTTTGCAATGGGAAGTGAAGGCATCCAGAGCAAGACCCTCTGCTGTTCCAGCCAGTAGGGGCCACTGAATTCTCTACTGCTCACCAGGAGATGAGACACCATTCTGTAAACCCACAGCCCAGACAGGGAGAGGCAGCCGAGTGCTGAGTGGCAGAGTTTGCTCTGAGCCAGCAGGCAGCATAACCACCTGCTTTTCCTAGAGTAAGATCCCAGAGTGAAGAAACAGCAAGCCAGCTGGTCCTCTCTTCAGGTTCTCCTTTCCTGGGCCGGGGCCCAGAGGGAAAGTGGACTGGAGCTTGCTGATGGCCGAGCAGTGGCTATTAAAGTCCAGAGCAAGTGCAGTCATAGCTGCAAGTTTAGAAAGACTGATGGCTGCCTGTGGCATGGATACCACGCAGGACCTCGTGGGCTGCCACATTCCTAAGTGACTCTAGCTGCTGAGATGTGTGTGGAAGAATTATCAGGATCAGTGTACTCTGAGCTCATTGCCACATAGAAATCCTGCTGTGAACTTCAGGGGGACACTAAGTGTGCCAGCCAGCAATACTAAAAAGGCTTCATAGAAAAACACCCTTTCCCTTTTATTTTGTTTTTGAGATAGAATCTCACTATGTAGCCCTAGCTGGCTAGAACTCACTCAGATCTACCTGCCTCTGCCTCCTAAGACTGGCAATAAAGGTTTGCCCAGCCAAATAGATTATTTTTTAATTTTTTTAAAACTTTGTTTCAATCCGGGCAGTTGGTGGTGTATGTCTTTAATCCCAGCACGCAGGGAAGCAGAGGCAGATGAATCTCTGTGAGTTCAAGGCCAACCTGATTTACAGAGTGAGTTCCAGGACAGCCAGAGATACACAGAGAAACCGTGTCTCAAAAAACAAAAAATCCTTTGTTTTATTACTGTAGTGTTAGTATTTGTCTGCGTGTATATCTGTGCTTTGAGTGCATGTATGGTGTCTGCAGAAGTCAGAAGAGGGCATCACATCCCCTAGAACTGTAGTTATAGATGGTTGTAAGCTACCCAGCTGATGCTAGGAACCAAGTCATGATCTGCTGCCAAAGCAGCAAGTGCTTAACCTATGCACCATCTCGCCAGCCCAATTATAAGTTTTTTCAAGGAATTTTTTTTCTCAAAAAATACTTTGCAAGTTTTAAGTATATCTTTTATAAAATGGTCATAAAGTGTTTTCCCGAAGAGTCCCAAACACTGTCATAAAGAGTAGAAGGAGCCAGTGTGATGGGTCAGCTGGTAGTTACAGTTGCCGACCCAGCCTGATGACCTGAGTGGGATCCCTGGACACGTGGTGGGAGGAGACACCTGACTCCTGCACCTCGTCCTCTGACCTCCACATGTGTGCTGTGGCAAGTGTGTGCCCTCATACAAACTTATAGATAAATATAATTTTTAAGTAGAAAAAAGGCTGTCAGGTGTCCACATGCATGAAAAATTAAAGTACATTGCTTGTGTCTCAGGTACCTATACTGGTGCCACGGTGAGATCTAATCAGAAAGCTTAAATCTTTTCTTTATAAGGTTGCAGTCAACTTCAGAGTCGACCAGAAGAATGCTGTGTGGATTCGGGTTGCCTGGGGAACACAACATTCACAACCAAATCAGTACAAACCCACTTTTGTGGTGTACTATCCCCAGACTCCATATGTCTTCATTTCTACCTGCCCTCTGAAGAGCACTGTACCCCTTCTCCATCAGGTAGGGAACAGATTCCAGCAGCTGGAGTACTTGCTGCTCTTATCTTAAAAGCCCACATAAGTATAGACGCTGATAAGACTTAGTGTAAAGTAACTTAGTTCCCGTTCTTCTAAGGTAAGACTCTTACCTACAGTGGAAATGTGACAGAAGATAATACTTTGGTCCAGTCTTTTTTTTAATGTAAAAGTAATGCATGCTTAATAAGCAGTTCAGAAGTCTCTAAAGGGAGTCATCAAAGCTCTGCCCCTTCTTCCTGCTCTATTCACCCCAAGTAGTAGCTATTACCAACTTAAAGCTGTTTGTCAGTGTCCCCAATAGTGCTATTTTCTTTCTATTATCTGCCTACCAACAGCAGTTAGCTGCTGTGACCACTTTCCACACACGTGTACCCGAAAATATTACCTGTGTCAGAGGTAGCCCTTCTCTTTTTCAGGGGGTCTACCTTTGTGTCTTAGTGTTCTACTGTTGTGGAGAGACATCATGACCAAGGCAATTCTTATAAAAGAAAGTATTTCATTGGGGACTGGCTTACAGTTCCAGAGATACAGTGCATTATCATGCTGGGGAGCATGGCAGCACGCATGGCACTGGAAGTGGCTGAGAGACAGTTACATCCTGATCCAAAGACAAAGCGGGTGAGGGGAGAGACTGGGTCATGGGCTTTTAAAACCTCAAACCCACCCTTAAGGACACACTTCCTACATCTACTGCAACATGGCGAGGCCACACCTTCCAATCCTTTCACACATTTTCCTGGCTGGTCTAAGCATTCAAATATATGAGTCTGTGGGAGCCTTTCTTATTCAAACCACACTTTGGTATTGCAGGTATCCTAGCTTCTTTCCCAAAGTTGGCCTAGTCATTACTACGCCCCGTTAGCACAGAGCTAATAGAGTTCTCCCAGAGCTCGAGCTTGAGCCGGGTGCAGGTGAGCAGCGCTGTAGTTGGCTGCCTGCTTCCCAGACACCTATCTGCCAAAGCACCACACACTCCACTGTCAGCAGCAGGCCTCAGGTGAAGGAGTCATTGCTTTGAGCCGGGCTCACCCCTGCCACAGCCTCCCCAGACTGAGGTCCCAGGTGTGCCCTGAGCCTCCGCACAGTGCGCTTTCCATTCTTAGCTGGAGCGCCTGCGTTTCAGTTAGCAAGACGCGCAGCCCCAGCTGAAGTCCTAACAGTCTTGCTCCTTTCCCTCCAAGGCCCTGAAGGTTGCAAGCAAACACCATCAGATCGTGCACCTGAATCTGAGAAGCCGGCACCTGGACTCGCTCAAGGCTATCGTTTTTAGAGAGTATAATCAGGTGAGCCAGTTAGCAACTCTTTAAAGTCAAGTGTTCCCTGACTATTCTGCACACTGAGCAGGGGGCGCCAGCCACTCCCAGCCCGGCCTGGAGATGAGTAGATGAAGCTTTCCCTCACTTCACTTTGCTGATGTTTGTTTTAATCTTTCACAATTTCATTCATATATAATGTACTTTGATCATATTGTCCCCCATCATCCTCTTATCCCCTTTTCCCCATCCCCCGTGAACCTCTTCTTCCCAACAAGTCCCCTTCCTACTGTCTTGGGGCTGGTAGGGATTCTTTTGAGCCCACTACATTTAATTAGGGCTGCTTGCATGAGTAGGGATGTGGTGTTATTTCCTAGAGCAAGAGCACCTAGAGCAAGTGGCTACACCACTGAGCAACTCGGCTTCTTTCCCCCAACAACCATCAATTGCCTAGAGCTCCTCAGAAAGGGGTGGGGCCTCCTAGCCCTCCCCTATCCAGGATAAATGATGAAATGTTTGGATGTGGTGTTTCCATTTCCTGACAAGGACAAGTCTACCCTTGTGGTCTTAAGTTTTCTTCTGAACATGGCAAGTGTTTGTGCATGTTCATATTCTTTAGGTGAATGGGCTTCCTTAAGAAGGTTAGAGAGAAAGGATGGCTGTCTGCAAGTCACTCTTTAAGGGGAATGTTGTAAAACTGGGAAATGGACCTTGGCGACCTTGGCAGGTGAGAGCCAGAGGCCCCCAGCGGGCAGGAGACAAATACACCATGCAGACAGAGCTTGAGCACGGAGTTTATTGAGAGGGTAAAGCAGGGGGAGGGAGAGAGAGAGAGGCAGAGACCTGTTTGCCTGTTCAGAACAGCCAGAGCCAGAAAGGGACCTTTTGCACCTGCGTACAGACTACAAAGTGACTATGTAGCAGCCATGGAACCTGGGCTGGCCAGGGTACTGCCTGGGTGCATCCTGCCAGGTGATGGGACAAACCAGCATAATGCCTGAATCCTAACAGGGAAGGGTAGAAACTTGAAGGTGTTTTTGCCTCAGTGTATTGCTAGCCACTTTAGACAGGAACCTCTAACTGTGAGCCAAAATAAATGCTTCTTCCCTTTAAAAAAGAAAGTAATTTTTATTTGTTGTTGGGGGTTTTAAGATGTGATCTCATATACCCTAGGCTGACCATAAACTCTTTACTCAGCTGAGGCCTCTGCCTCCCAAGTGCTGGGATTGCAAGCCTGAGCTACCGTGTTGACCCCCTAAGAAGTTAGATGATGGCTTTCTCCCTCACTGCCCCTTCTTTGTCAACCCTCTACCCTCCTGCCAAATAGATATCAACTGCTGTCCAACCACAGCATTATTGAGAGAGTTCACATTGTTAGCCACCAAACTGGAGAAACGGTCACTCCCTCAAGGGAGATGCAATAGAAAGGATCGAGAAATGTGGGTTCATGGTGGCAAAGTTATTTTTCCTAAAAGGGCCCTGAGATATTTTTCAGGGTCTGACGACACAGTGCTGAAGATGCAAGATGTCAGGGTTGTCTTTCATTCCTCTGGCTCCTGTGCCACCCAAGCACCTTGAGGTGATTTTCTTTCATACGGTGCAGGGGATGAACCCAAGACCTCACGTATGCTAGGCAGACTTCTCTACCACTGAACTGCATCCTTGGCACAAGACGCACTGTTCCGTCAGTTCCTAAAGCAACCTTGCAGCACAGCTTACCGTCCTAAGACCTGTGCTCAGTTTAGCCAGCCTGTGACAGAACCATTGTTTCTTTCTCAGTAAAAATAGAAAATATAAGACCTCTTTATTCTGCAGGCAGTGGTGGTAACACCTTTAATTCCAGTACTTGGGAAGCAGAAGCAGGCAGATCTCTTGAGTTCAAGGTTAGCCTGGTCTACAAAGCAAGTTCCAGGACAGGCTCCAAAGCTACAGAGAAACCCGTTCTTGAACAACAAAAACAAACAAACAAAACACACACACACACACACACACACACAAATAATGATTTAACACTTATATCTTAGAACCAGTTGATATCTATATATCCCAACATGTTTACTTTTTCTCTCTCCTAGACCTTTGACAGCCACAACACTACAGTGCCTCTGCAGGAAGGAAGCTTTGGACTAGACATGAATTGTATGTGAGCTTTGAAACAGCTGGGGTTGGGAAGGGCACCTTTGCCTTTAAGGTGACTGTTCCACGATAAAGCAGTTGTGCCAGGACCACATTGCAGATCTGGTTCATACTGCAGAAAAACCAAGACAACCATTTGGAGGCAGAAAGCCATGCTAGTACAGGTGTTATTCAGAGTTCACTAGAAGGCTGGCCGTCATTAAGAGTGCCTTTGTGCCCAGCAGCATACACAGTGTTTACATGCTATTGTCACGTCAGTGTTGGCAGCCGGCCTGTGAAGAGACACTCTCCACTGGGAAACTGGGTCTCAAGAAGAGTCATAGAGCTAGGTCTGTCCGAGGTGGAACCCATGGTCTCATGCTTAGTGAGCTGGATATGCCGGTTCTAGAATAACATGGTGGTTGCACGGCTACTCACTCAGAGAACCTAAGTGTCTCCCTAGAAAACCGAAGCTCAAGTTGACAGTGGAAGAAAGCAGAACCCATGTTTGAAAGAGCACAGACTCCAGAGGCATAAGACCTGCTGTGGGTCCCATGTTAAGTAAAGAAACGTGACAGAAAAGTACTCATGGTAACTACACAGAAAGTGTATGAGAACCTAGATAGTGTCATGACACTATAGGTATTTCTTACTCCCTTTTGTCAGCCTGTGCTTTCCAGCTGTTCTGTGGGATGCCTTCATTTCAATAAAAAGAAGGGACCGGAAGCATATCTGAGCCACACAAATCATCTGCAAGTTTAGGATGGAAAGAAGTATGGGGTGAAGTGTATTCCTAATGGTAGTCAATCCGAACTCTCATCCACAGTGGATTCAAACATCATTCTTGAAAACACAGAAGAAAAAGAAAGAATCCAAAGAGTCACTCAGGACACGTTTGGCGCCTACCCCCAGCCACAGCTGGAATTTGCACAGTATAAGGTAGGATGGCGCAGTGAACAGCTCCTGCAAGTTGGTGCCTTTTTTTTTTTTTTTTTTTGAGATACAGAAATCTTAACTGGAAAACGTGTCCAAAACCTATTCCCTTTTCATTCGTAAGCTTTATGTAACAAATATGTTAAGTTGCATAGATCTTTCTATTATATTTGTAAATTCTCCTGTTAGCAAAGGACACGTCCTGAAATTTCGAATTTGCTTTTGCCTTTTGTCTCTGCAGTAACTCAGCTGTATATTGTTACCTGGGGGAGGGCTATACCCTACTAGCCTGTGCACACCTAGAACAGCATATGGTAAATGCTCGTAACTACTTGAATGGATGAGCTGGTGTGATGGCACACACCTGTAATCCCAGCACTCAGGAGGCTGAGGCAAGAAGATCTTAAATTCAAGGCGAGCCTGGGCTACTTAGCAAGTTGGTAGCAAACTTGCCTGAGTGGCTCAGAAGCACAAAAACAAGAGAGAAAACACACTTACTATGTAGTCCCACTGACTGTAGCTCCATGATGGAGAAAATCGGCAGGGTAAATATACTGTAAATTAAACTTGTTTCAAAGGGGTGCTGCTGCCTACCGCGTGACCAAATAGGAATACAGGAGTTAGAAGAACTTCAGTATATGTCATAGTCACCCTAGCATGAGCCCATGTTCCTACTCTTAATACCTTCCTTCCCCGGCCCCAATAAAATAGTTTCCATGAGTCTTCTGACAGCTACAGGACACACTAAAGATCTGCCATTGATCTGCTCACTTAGGCCCAAAGGCGTTTTGGGTTGACTTGTTTTTAAAGGAAGATGGCATTTTTCAAGCTGTTTTTGAGAAGTTTTGTTTGTTAATGTGTATGCACACATAGCTTTGCTCACTTGTTATGGAGGCCAAAGGTCAGTGTAGCTATCTTTTGGCCTTATTCTTTGAGCTAGGGTCTGTCCCTGAGCCTTGAGCTTCTTTTCAGCTGGACTGACTGCAGAGAGCCCCAGCTTCCTCCCATTTCTTCCTTCCTCCCAAGTGTTGGGGTTACACATGCATGTCTGGGTGCTAGGGTCCCAGACTCAGGTCCTAATCTTAGAATGGTTGTGTTCTGATGGTCTAGTGTGTCCTCACTCACTCACGCCTGATTTTCTCCAACCTCAGGAAATGGCCAGAATATTATGCTGAATGCCACCCGTCCACTTTAACTAGCCAATGGCCACATTTTGCCATGTCCTTTTTCTTTCTCTTTATTCTAAGTATAGAATAAAGAGAAATTGAGTTCATTGCAGACAGTAAGTATCCCATAAATATTCCAGTATAGTGCCTCAAAGTTTTAAGAATCACTCACTCCAGGTGGTGGCGCACATCTTTAATCCCAGCACTCAGGAGGCAGAGACAGGTGGATCTGTGAGTTGAGGCCAGACTGGGTCTATAGAGAGAGTTCCAGGACAAACTATCTCCTGAGTCGGTGGCTCTCCAGCTTTAGTGTATATCCCAGAGCAACGAGTATGCAGAAACAGATGGTGGATACAACCTCGCCCTGACCATGCTCCCTCCCCATTCCCATGTGACTGGTTCTACCAGTTCAGAGACCACACCCTTAGAGCTTCCTTCCCAGATTAGGAGCTCTTTAAAGGAGCCACACCTGTGACAGGGAGGAAGCAGGAGGGCCAGAAGCTCAAAGCCAGCCTCACCTGTGGGTCCATGCCAGGCTGAGGGTGGTGCTGGCACTCTCTGTTGGGTGCATTTCCTATACCAAATGCTTTCACTCTTTGCGGTTAGCAAGTTAAACGGGCTCTGCCTGTATTAATCCGTGCGTTTTTTGAAGGCAGGAATTAATGGAATACATAAGTTGTTCATTATCTCTCACCATCCTAGCTGCTCCCGATACTGACCATCATTTATAAACTTTTTTTGACAGCTGGAGACCAGATTCAAGAGTGACATAAGTGGCGGCATCTTGGCTGACAGGAAAGAACCCCTCCGGTGCCTTATAAAGTTCTCAAGCCCACACCTTTTGGAAGCATTGAAATCCTTAGCGCCCGCCGGTGAGTGGTCAGCGTGTCCTACCAGCCAGACAGCTGCTTTTGATTCTCAGTAGAAGACTAGCTAGTCACCTTTGAGTGTTCTGTCTCTCCAGTCTGCTGCCCTCCAAGCCCTGTTTTGCTTCTGTGCTTAGTAGGTGGTAGGAGAAGGTGTCCCTGATTTGCTTCTGGTTTTGGCCATTTTTAAACTGATTGTCCCCAGGATCATCTGATTTTTTTTTCTTTTTTTCAGGTATAGCAGATGCACCGCTTTCTCCACTGCTCACCTGTATACCAAGCAAGAAAATGAATTATTTTAAAATTAGAGATAAATGAGATACATGTGGCTTTGCTCGTATTGCACATGGAATCCCAGTTGTAGCCACCTGGCTTCTGTCTAGACTCCTGTGTTTTAGAAATCAATCCTTGGCATTGGGACTAAATATGTCCTCCCTATGTGCTCTTGCATTCTTGCGCCTCTGGCCGACTAATTACTGCAGCTGTGGGCATCTGAGAAGGATACCTCTGGCTGCTCATCAGGTCTTGGGCCAGCTGCATAAAGGTATAAAAGGCTTTAGCTGAGGGGGGGAAATAAAAGCTGCTGCTCTTCCACCTGAAAAGAAGCCTGCGTGTCTCAAACCCAGCACCCCCAGCCAGTCTCGGCATCCAAGCTGTGCTGGTGCAGCAGTGGAGGTTCCACCAAGATCTGGAAAGCGAGGGTCATGAACGGGGTCACTCCATCCACCGGCTAAATTGAGGGGAAGGTAATTTTTTTTTCTCATCCCCAGAGATACTCTGAGGGACACCCTCCAAAAGACTAGCAAGTATAAAGAAGGAGGGGGAAATTGAAGGCCTCAAAAAGTAACTGAAACTCTTAAAGCAACAAGACTTGGAAGTAACAAGGAAGATAGCCAAAGATTTCATACAAACAATAGCTCAAATTAGCCCCTGGTTTATTACGGGAGGGGGTTTAAATGTTCCAGACTAGGACTAAGCTAAGTCAGATTAAAAGGAGTATGTGTTTTATCATCCCCAGAGACACTCTGAGGGACGCCCTCAGGAAGACTGGCCAGTAGGGAAGTAATAAAGAGGAGGCAGGAGGGTGAATTGAAGGCCTCAGAAAGACAGAATGTGTACAGATGTATGTTATTGTGTTGAGTGTGTTGTCTTTTGTATTCTGGACTGGAAAAAGACATTTGATTCTGGGAACTGCTAAGCAAGGTATTTTGGCTTTAAAATACAGCCCTAAGGATTTGGGCTTTGGAAAAGAGGTTCTGCTTTTGTCTCCACAGAGGATGAGAACCTGTGGATTCATTGCAAATTTATGTGGTTTGATTCACTGAGATACCCTGAAATGTTGATGTATAAAATACCCCCCAAGAACGCAGCACCCCCGCTCAGCAGGAAGTAGCCAGACAGGTTGACAATGCCCAAATTCCCTAAAAGATTGTTTAAGTGGGGCCCCTTCAGTGCTTCCGGAGCAGCAAGACTGCTTCCCTGCCCCTCTCCATGCACCCTGTGCAGATGGCTGAGACTGTCAACCAGATGACTGAAAAAGTCAGCAATGCTTTGGACATTCAAAATGATCTTAATGGACATATTCAATTGGGCATATTGACCTTGAACCAACAAGTAGCTCTGGTTCAACAGCAAGTGGACTATCTTTGGACTTTTCAATGGTTAACATGTTCTAGCTTTTATCATGTTATGTGCATTATGAGAGGGGTTAGGAATACTGCTTTTGTTAATTTTACCACCCAGTTAGTGCATGCTATATAAGCCGTAATTTCCACCCGGGTTGAGCCTGACCAGGCCAGTGATTAATGGACTTGGATGGCTAAGGTAGAGGGATGGTTGCAGCGCTGGTCTGGCTCGTTGGCACTGTCAGTCCTGGGGATACTTGGTTTAGGGCTATGTGTCTGGATCCTCTGTCAATTCCACCACCAGTATTAAAATCAGGTGAGTGTCACCTGGCAGGCACTCCTAGCAATGGCTGTGCAACCTGAATCTGCACAAGTTTGGCTGCAAATGCTGGATAAGCGGTAGCCACAGATGGGCAATACCTTGGGGGCAGGATGCCACCTAAGACAGGGAATATTAGAGGGCTATTCCCTACCTAAGACAGGCACCGTTTATTTTATAAAATAAAAAGGGAGAAGGAGTTGTGACCTGGGTGCCCTCACTCCCCCTGACCAACTGCTAAATTTCCTTGTACTCTGTAATTGACAAGGATGTTTGTGTTCCTTCTGGCCAATGGTTTTCCACAGAAGCGTTGCCAGTACACGATGCCCTTATCTTGACCTCTGGCTCCTTAGCAGGTCTTGGGCCAGCTGTGTAAAGATATAAAAGGCTTTAGCTGGGGGGGGTGGAATAAAGGTTGCTGTTCTTGCTCCTGAAAAGAAGCCTCCATGTCTCAATCCCGGCACCCCCGCCAGTCTCAGCATCCAGGCAGTGCTGGTGCAGCACTGTCTAGATAGGTATTCTTCAACCACGTCAAGGATCTGTGGAACACAGCATTTAAATAATTTAGGGTTCTGTTGATATGAGACATGATTGCTTCAGACAGCACCAATCTATTCCTGAGAGAATGTTGAGCACCAAAGACACTCCACTTGGAGCTTGTAGTCTTCTTGGCAAAACTGGCCTTTGGGCAAGGAACTGACAATGCCTCAACCACTGACAAGTTACATAGTATCCAGAAATGGATAAGCAGGACTGTCTAATCTTGCCAAGACAGGGTAAAATGGTTTTGAAAAATTTCCTACTTCTGAAAATGATCTGTCAGTTACACTAAACCTTAGCCAAAGTTGGTTGCTTCAACATTGCAAAATGAGACTTTGGGTGATTGCTCAGGTAGCTAATTGTCTTCGTCATATATTGCTCACTTTGGAAGCTACTTGATTGTACTTCCTGCCTGCTGAAGTAATATTATCTCCCTTCTCAGGCCTTTGATGGAGTTGAAGATTAGATAGTCTAAGGGGGAGGTGCTGCGGGAGCTCCTTCCACTCCTGCAGCCAATAGCATTTAAAATACCAGCCCACTGGGGTGTGGTTTCTTATACTTTAAAAAGCAGCAGGAACTGGACACTCTTTCTTGCTTCTGGCTCTTGTTCTGGCTGCTAGACTCTCTGTTTCCTGTTTGCAGGGAGAGGACTATTGTTTGGCACGGTGATCTGTAAGTTTTTCTCCTCAAGTAGGTAACATTTTTTATTATCCATAATTCTTAACTGGTGTGGGATTGTTTTGTGGCTTCACACATGGACACGCACACGCACGCATGCGCACATGATGCTGTGGGTTGACCTCAACACTGGGAAACTCAGAAGTCAAGCATATGACAGTGGCTGATCCTGCTGCCACCGCACCTATTGTCCTTTATTCCGCTCCTTCTCATCCTCAGACGTCTAGGCTCAGTTGCTGGTTTCTGTGGAATTTCTGAAACCACTCAACCCAAAACTTGGATAATCAGAGGGGAAAGCTTGGGTGCAGTAAGCTCTACACAGGCTGCATGTCTGATGACCTGTTTCTATAAAATAGCTGTTCTATTGTACATACGTGGAACATTCAAACTGCACTTCACTGTTCTACTGATTTGTGAATAAAGATGATAGTAAGCTGGCATATCCGTTGCTTTGGAGGAAATCAAACATGCTGAATAGACTGTATAAATACAGCATAAAAGGTCCAAGTAATGCTGTACAATATGATGTGTGCAGACTGGGTCATCCAGTAGAAAACATGTATGTTTTTGCATGTTACGTGATCAGATGTGTCAGGCACTTCCCTTGTCCCTCAGTAATATGAGGATATTGGGCTTTGTGCTGGCTAGTTCTCTGTCAACATGGTGAGCCAGAGTTATCTGAAGAGGGAACCTCAAACGAGAAAATAGCTCCATAAGATCCAGCTGTAGGGCATCTTTTAAATTAGTGATTGATTGGGGAGGGCCCAGCCCATTGTGGATGGTGCCATCCCTGGGCTGGTGGTCCTGGGTTCTGTAAGAAAGCAGGCTGAGCAAGCTAGTAAGCAGCACCCCCTCCGTGGCCTCTGCATCAGCTCTTGCCTCCAGTTTTTTGCCCCTGTTTGAATTCCTGTCCTGACTTCCTTCAATGATGAACTACAGTGTGGAAGTATGAGCCAAATAAACCCTGTCCTCCCCAGCTTGCCTTTTGGTCATGGTGTTCCATCACGGGATAGGAGCCCTAACTTAGGCTCAGATGCTACACCCTCTATACATACCTTTTTATTCCTTTATAAAGATTCTAGGAGTTGACCATTTGGTGGTGGTGCACGCCTTTAATCCCAGCAATTGGGAGGCAGAGAACTGTGAGTTCCAAGACAACCAGGACTGTTACACAGAGAAACCCTATTGGGGGGGGGAGATTGTAGGATTTTATTTTATATATATGTATTTTGCTTGCATCTGTTTATGTATTCCACATTCATGCCTGGTTCTCTGAGAGATAAGGAGAGAGCATTGGATACCCTGGAACTGGAGGCTTGGATGACTGTAAGCCACTATGTTGGCACTGGGAATCAAACCTGTTCTTTGTAAGGACATAAGGGCTCTTTTTTTTTAAGATTTATTTATTTATTATATATACAACAATCCTTCCATGTATGCTTGCATGCCAGAAGAGGGCACCAGATCTCATTATAGATGGCTGTGGGCCACCATGTGGTTGCTGGGAATTGAACTCAGGACCTCTGGAAGAGCAGTCAGTCCTCTTAACCTCTGAGCCATCTCTCCAGCCCCCCCCAATAGCCCCCCAATAAGGTCTCTTTACCACTGAACCATCCCTCCAACACCACTCCCTTTGACCACTGTGACCAGCCACATACTAAGAAGGCATTCTGACCACAAGGTGCCTGATTGGTCAAATGAGAACTGCAGAAGTCCTTGAGCTTTCTGGAGTCTCATAGAGACCTTTGAACTTCTTGGAGTATTCATCCCACTACTCCCTAGCTCTCCCTGGTATGGCAGGAATGAAGCCTGAAATCTGAACAAGACCCAACATAGTCATTTTCTGCCTCTAGTAGTACTATAGGCTGCATCCTGTAGACCTCCCAGAGTGAGCCTCCTTAAAATTCTAGATTTAGGGCTTCTCATAGAATACTACTAGATACTTGATGGCCATCTGCAAATGCTTGGGGACAGATACTGCAGTCAATGCAAAGCCAAAGACCTTCAGAGTCAGAAGAACCAAGTCAGTATAATCCCTGTCTTAGTTACTTTCCTATTGCAACAAAACATGTCACCAAAGCAAACTTGTAAAAGAAAGCGTTGGCCAGGTGTGGTAGCACACACCTTGAATCCCAACACTCTGGAGGTAGAGAGTGGTGGATCTCTGTGAATTCAAGGCCAGCCTGGCCTACAAAGCAAGTTCCAGGACAGCTAGGGCTGTTACACAGTGAAACCCTGTCTTGAAAAAACAAAAAATATATTTAATTGGGGGCTCACAGTTCCAGAAGATTAGTCCATGCCCATCATTGGAGGGAAGATGGCCGCAGGCAGGCATGATGTTGGAGCAATAGCTGAGAGCTTACATCTTCACAAACATGAGGCAGAGAGAGGAAAGTGGGAATTACGTGCCCTTTAGAAACCACAGGGCCCACCCTCAGTG